TGTAATAATCCTATGACCTATGTAGGTGAAACAAAAAGATGTCTCAATGTTCATATAAAAGAACACATAAATGCCATCAAATACAATTCTGAATACTCTGCAGTTGCCAAACACTGCAATCTCTATGGATGTGAAATTGATGAAAGTATGATAAAAGCAATAAAATTTGAAACTAACACCTATAAACAAATATTTTGAGCATATAGAGATTTTAAAAATTAATAATGTTAATAGAATTAATGATAATCTAGGTGTTAAAATTGACAAAGGATGGCATAATTATATCTTTTAAAAAACTAAATATCTTTGTGATGTTACGACTATATATTGTTAAAAACTGTTGGGAACTTGTAATTGTCTCATATGTTGTCACCACTTGTACACCAGATATGGACTGTTACACACCTTCCTCACTACCACTCCCAGCACCCTGTTATAAGCTGGCATCTGCAACTCTGTCGTCTTACTGTTTTTTAGTATGTACATTATCTGTCTGTATAACTTTAGTTCATAACTGTAAACCAATAATTGTCTAACTTATAACTGTTTTGTATCAGCACTCTGTACATCACTCCACCATGCAAAGTCATGAAGATTTATTACACCTGTCTACACTAATAATGCTTACTGCTCATACAGTTATAACAGTGTTTTCATCTTTATATTGTATAGCTTTAGGCATAGTTTTAAATTTACCTTTACCTTGTATAATTTTAAATATACCATCACCTTTAGATAATACCTACTGATGATGCTTACTACTCATACTGTTACAGTGGTGTTTTCAATCTTTATATTGTATAGCTTTAGGCTTAGTTTTAAGTTGACTGTTACCTCATATAATTTTAATATAGCATTACCTTTAGTTAATACCAACTGATGAGGGACTATTTTCTATCGGGAAAATAGTCCAAAATGCATTTTGGGTTTTCACACTTATGTAGTAATTTTTTGTGTTTATTAAATTGTTTTCACTTTGATCCCTGAGCGTTTGTGCCCATCATTGGTTTGATAAGCTCTGACTAAAAAATCCTCACAGTTGTTGATAATTTAATTAATGTAATGTGACTGTTTATTCAGGATAGTTGCTTTTTATAATATTTGTGTTTTAATTTTACAAAAATATAGAACTATTTAGACAGTTCTTGTGCATCAATATTACCAATGGGAAACCATCTTAAAAGTGTACTTACTTTTAACCTGGCAATGCCAGGTCTAACTGCTTGTTAAAAGTTTCCAAGAATTCTTTAAAAAGAGTATTATATGATGTTTGAAAATAAATAAATTAATTAAAACTAATATCTGTTGCTCTCAAATGAGGTCAAATATGGATGTCAAAACTAGTTCAGATAGTTCTAAGTTTTACTTATCTTGCCAACAATATAAAAATTAAAAGTTACTATTCATATGGAAATCCTTATTTATTTGTTGTTATTAAAGTTTATAATAGAATTTTGTTAAACAGAATCCAACATTTCAATGACATTCTACAGTACTTAAATCTAGTAAAGCTGACTTTTAAAACAAAAGCATAATAGGCAAATTTATTGTTTCAGAAGATTAACTGAAGGATTTGGAAATAAATAATTTTCAATAATCCTAATCTTCATAATTTCTCTGAAACCTTCAACTCCACTGATAGAAGAGCTCCTTACTATTTCAAATATTAAGCCTATGTACTATTTCAAAGTACAAGTTCTTATTAAGGAAATTATATATTAAGATAATTCTGTTCAGCTTTTTCTGCCTGTAAGTCCATTTTGATAGTTCATTCATTATGAATCATTTTTAGTTTAATGATTATCAAAAAGAACAACAGTGCTCCCAATTTTACTGAGGGTTCTATTTATCATCAAAACATTTGGAAATTGTTCAATCTTCCAAATTTTGAATAATATATCATTTGATACTAAGAAAGACATCAAACATAGAAAACAAGTTTTTCCCTCTTTAATATAATACTTCACTTTAAAAATCACAAGTTATCAGTGAAAGGATAAAATTCATCTATTTTCCACATCGACTTCAGTCCTCCTTTATACATCTCAGACATATCAAGATTATTACTATTATTATTATATCAAAACATAATAAAGTTTTAGAATAACTTGGCTAAGGAGAATACTTAGCTTCTCAAGATGAGATAAGATTTTCCAATGAAAATTTCTATGAAAGTAAATCAATTTCCAATAATTATTCTGACTCAATATTGTGAAATAGTTTGAACATCAGTTGCAGCACCTAAACAGCCAATTTTCTTCTCCTATATTATCCTGTAAACACACTCGAATAACTTTGAAGAAACAGCAAAAATTTAATAACAATGTTTTCAGACATTTTTAATGACCTTCAAGTAGAATATGTATAATGGAATGCCACAACGGTAGTTTGGATGATAATATTCTAGAATACAAATTCAAATTTTACCATCCAAATGTTAAGATATCATATAATGAATGTGTAAGTTCAAAAATATTCAAAAATGATCACACAAATAAAATGAAATAAACATATCCTGTAAACAAAAGAAATAAAGCAAAAGAAACAGGAATAATCCAAGAATGAAATTCTTCTAATATGTTGACAGGCTATAATAATCCACTAACAACACTGATGCAGCATATAAAATTAAAATTTGCAAATAATAGACTTTGTTGATAAGAAAAAATATAGACATCGATTAAAGACAATATGATACTAAATTTTATGATAAGATCTGATCTTATCCAATACTGATACTTGCTTCCATCTGTACTCTACAGATGTTGGTAATAAAAAAAACCTGAAAGCTCATTGGTTTAAAGAATATTTGCTATCTAGCCACTTAAACTCAAGTATAAAGAAATAAAAGTTTATACTGTATATTGATTTACAGGCTGTTGTAAGATCTGAACCCAGGCAATTGCCTATTATAGTTTGCCAATGCTCAACTCCAGCCTTGTTTTTAGGAAAAAACATCAAACAAACCTTGAATACATTTATCTAACTGTTATAAATAGAAAAAAAAAATCACTAGATTGAAAAAACTGTTGCAAAAATCACCAACTGCCTTGAAATATCACAATTTCTACTAATTTATTTCAGATTTGGCAACTGTTTACATATTGCCTGTTCATTGCTAAAAATGCACCTAGTCTCCAACAAAGTAGCAACCATTATCAAGTTGGCACTGAACACTGATAGGCACAGGACCTTGCATACAAATACTGTATACTTTCCTTCAATACTGAGTACTTTTTGTAATCAATACTTTTGGTGTGATATGATATAGATACTTTTCATTGGATATTGGATCTGGTATTGTTACATTTTTCGTAGACAGGTAATCTAATTGAAATTGAATTTTAAAATCAGTTTTTTCAAAATTGAAATCAAAAATCTTACACTATTTTTTGGTTAAATTAAACTTATGTAGTATATAATGACCAAAAATCAATAAATTTATTACATCAAATTTCATTTTCAGAATCTATATACAGTATGCTTAGAGTTCAGATTATCTTCTTTACTATATATATAAAAATGAATGTATGTCTGTCTATCCTTCATGATTTACTACACCATTTATCCAATTGCCACGAAACTTTGGAAAAAGTTGTTTAATATACTTCCGCAAAGGTTTCTGGCATAGTACATTTATGATAGATGGCACATGTGTATACGAGCATTTCATCAGGAGCATTTCATCATGAGCATTTCAGCACGGTCAGGAGTTGAAACTTGAATTTTGGTACACAGTTAGGGTATGTCACGAGAACGCACACTAACACGGGATTTTTTGAAATTCCCCCCGCGGGGAAAGGGACAGGATTAAGGCTTCAACAATGGAAGTGTTAAGAGAAAGCAACGTGCAAGATTTACAGGCGCAAATGAGGTTTTTTGGCATTAAATTGAACATAATTTTAGACCCATCTAAAAATTTTCTAATTAGTCTGGAAACAGAGGAACCTAATTCTTGCATTCTGTGAAAATGGGTAAGATTGGCTGTAATGTAATAATCTTAATCTTCGCTATCGTTACTTTTTGCCCAAGCAACGCCGGGCTTATCTGCTAGTTATTTATAAAAAAGTTGCAATACCCAATACAGGCATCGGGGCATACTAAAATACAAATAAAAATAAAGTAGAACGTCAATTATCCAAATTAATTGGGGACTGGGGTTGTTCGGAAAATCGATTTTTCGGATAACCGATTATGTACGAAAAAATACATTATTAATATAATATATCCCATGTAATTAGTATATCCCAATAATACTATATTAATATATCCCACATTATGATTTTTCTCTATTGTGTGTCACTTTGCGTTGAATTTTTGTCAATTTTAAGCATAACAAAAATTTTTTATAATAATAATCGTGGCTATTGTATGGTTAAAAATTATTTCAAAACAAATATATTGAAAAATATGAAAACAAAAAAAATTATACTTTAGAAGTTAATCTATAATCAAAAATGTCCGATTCAGCATGACACATATCCTGACACAGTCCGACTTGAAAGATTTCGGTTAATTGACGTTTTGGTTGATCGACATTTGGATAATTGACATTCTACTGTAATAATATACTGAGTATTATATTGTAAAAATATAAAATAATTTATATTGTTAATTTAAATAATAGCTAGAGGCACTCCTAGCGGCCATTTTTGGCATACAGTGACAGAAAGAAAATACAGTGCCCATTTTTTCAGCTTTATATAGTAGATTTGTCAATTATTTGAAAAACTTGGAAAATATATTAAAATCTCAAATCAATTATTGTATCAGTAATATTTAGTTTATATTAGAAATCAGTTTTAAAAATTTAATAATAACTAACTAGAATAAAGCAAGTTATTTATATTAATATTTCAATTACACATATTGTTTGAAAATCAAACCACAGACTGAACAGTGACAGCTGGCAAGATTTTCAGTTTTGATATGTAATGCCCAATAGTAGCTGGTATTGATACTTTTGTAATACCAAGTTGTCCCTAGTCACAGATTCTTGCCTTATCAACATACTGACCAAGTGGAATTTTTTGGATTTTCTTCACATGTCTAACGTCCTTAGCAGGGTCAAATTTCCCAAAGAAAGTTTCCCTGAGAGCACCCCCCTTGACAGATGGTCCATATGTAATGTTGCCACATTCCATCAAACCTAAACTAAAAGCAACAACAACCTTATATCATATGATGGTTGATGAGAAATCATGTGTTGAGAATGTTGTCTAACATGAGCTAAGATTATAAGGTTAGAGTCTATTTTTTCAAATTTCACTTCCCTGAATCTTATCCAAGTCACATCTTCACTCTTCATTAAATCATGGAAAACAAATGACAGCTAGAATGATTAATAGAAGAATAGAAGAAAAAAGGTATGCTAGCATTAAAACCTGCTATAATATTTTCAAATTATTAGTTTTTTAAAAAATCTATATACAAAATAAAAATGTTCACAAAATAATTGTATAAAATCCTAAAATTAATACACACAGTTGGGTCACCCCGAAAAATTTAACAATATCGCCACCATTTTGCCAGTTTTAAATTTTTTTGCCACCAGTTTTACTTACTAATTAATGCAGGTGCTGGTAGCCTTATCAGTTTGGAATCTAGAAAGCAAAAGCAACATGTTAAACTGTCACTTACAAGGAGAGGGCCAGACATTTTGGTCTCCAATTCAAACGAAACATAATGAGAATGTAGCCTTAAACACAAATAGCTCCTTGTTCAAATAATAGGGCCCACTTCTCAAGTGTTTCCAAAAATTGGGCCTCTGAAAATTTAGTGTTTAGCTTATAAGTCTTCGGAAGTCTTTTTATTCACTTGGCTATTGCCACTCTTGGATATGGAACTTCCAAAGACTTAAAAGCTAAACACTAAATTTTCAGAGGCCCAATTTTTAGAAACACTTGAGAAGTGGGTGCTATTATTTGGACGATGAGCTATTTGTGTTTAAGGCTACATGCTCACCAAGTTCCATTCAAATCAGAGACCTGAATGTCTGGCCCTCCCCTTGCTAGCAATAGGAATCATTTTTGAATAATTTTTTTAATGAATAATTCTGAACAACACATTTGATCATAATGTTTAAACAGTATTTCACAGGTTCTGTCATGTCAAAATTTTTGTTTCAGTCTATTGAAAAAAGATGTAAAGCGAAAAAAGTCATCCCAAAATTTCTTTCAGCAGATAAAAAAAATCCCAATCTGGAAACACTGGGCAGCATTGCACAAAACTGCCTTCAGTTCTTGATGTCACTTTCTGCATTACTTCCCAAACTTGCCGTGTGACATCATGAAATTGCTAAATGTGTGGTGTACGCAGGGGCGGATCTAGGTTTTTCGGGGCCTAGGGTTTATTTAAGTCCAATGGGGCCTCATTTTTTGTTAGATTAAGAATCTAAATTGGGGTTTAAAATTCATTTTTAATAACATCAAAATCAGAGTTGAAATATATTTATTTATGAAATGGTGTTGAATGACAAACTTTATTTATTACGTTTTTTTATATAAGATATAAAGAAATATTTACATTGATTAATTACTGACCAACTATGTTACATTGATTGCAATAAAACAAATACAGTGGGTGATTGGTTAATGAACAATTCGGATAGTGAACAAATTGGATAACAAACACTTTCGCGAAAGATTTTTATGATCGGACAACGAACACTTTACTGAACAAACATAAAAAGCAGCGACGGAAAATAACGAATACTGATTGATTTTCCCTTGTCTTTGGGTAACAATTTGAAATCTTTTGGAGCGCGGGAGATGTCAACATCGACACTCAACCCGATACCGATTAGATAGTATAATATTCCTCCGAATTTTGAAACTTTCCCTTGTAATTCCAGCTTTTTGTTTACCTTTCTAGCAAATAATTTTTTATAGTATTCGCGAGACTGTCAGATGGGCACTTGTTAAGTTTTGTGTCGGGGTTTATTTACAAAAGGTGAAAGTTTAACTGTCCCATCAGATATTCGTTAACGTTTTAATACCCAAATTTTGCATTTCATCCGGGCCTTGCATTTAAAAAATTTTTTGTGGGCTAATTGATTTCTGTTCTCTAAATTTTTGTAAGTGCTTTTCTGAACTTTTTATTAATATTTAAAAAAGAAACTGATAATATTATGGAGCCTAAAAAGAGGAGTGTTAAGAACTGTGCTCACCATAGAAACCAAGTAAGAGATAATAGCCAAGGTAGAAAGTGGGCACAAAATGTCTGATGTTTCTAGACAGTATGGCTTGAATAGGTCTGCAGTAGGCACAATCTTAGCTATGAAAGATATATCAAGAAGTCTCAAGCTGCTAACAGAGTAATGAAAATCACATCTGAGAAATAAAGAACATTTTAGAGTTCATAATGAAACCTGAAACTGATCTGACAAAAGAAGAACTCCAAGAATTCTCAAATGAAGAATACCAAGAAACTCAGCTAGATGTGTTTTCTTTCGAAAAAGAAGACGACGAAAGAGGACCAATGTCGACATCTACTACTAAAGATCTTTTGAAGAAGTGGGAGGATGTCAGAACAATAATCATCCAAGTGGCATCCAAACCAGAATAAGGTTACATAATGGGGTTGGGATACAATTACAATACTATTAATTACTTCCAAAAAATCTTGAAGAAAAGAGAAAAGCAATCGACATTGGACAGATTCTTTAACCCCCACAAACAGAAAACACATGACTAATAAAAATGCAAGACTGCATATATATGTATTTTTACTATTACGTATAAATAAATGTAGTAAACAAGTACATAATTTTTATTTTTTTGGAGTCTCCAGAACGAATTAATCAAATTCCCATAAAAACCTATGGTAAATCGATAATCGGTTAACGAACAGTCTTGGAATGGATTATGTTTGTTAATCAATTACCCACTGTAATACTATACATTATCATTATTATTATATTATTAATATTGTCGTGGAAACAAATGTCAACCAGTTGTTAGGAACACAAAGGTATGTATTCACTCAGACAATGTACAACTCCTGCAGCTTGCAGTATAAGAACAAGAACCGCTCTCATCCTGAGAGCTTGCTGTTATATATTATAGAGACACGGTAGAAACACGGTAATTTGTTAGTATTTATATATGTTCTCAGACCAGGAGAATGTACCGAAAAAAAAAAACCTGCATCAATGAGATTTGAACCGGAGACCTTTGCTCGATAGGCGAAGACGCTAACCCAGGAGTGGCCAACATTTTTTGCTCCCAGGCTGAATTGGAAAAAAAACTTTTTTCACAGGTCGAACCAGAGGCTGCCCTAGGAAGATTTTGAGGTGGTGCGAGATCTCATTGTGGTGTCATGCCATAGAGACTAAATTGTAGATAGAGATTACAGATACATTTTTCACATTATCATGATTTATCAACATTCTACACTGTACTTAAGAGACTTGTAATATGGAGGGTTAACCCTATACTCACAGTGAGTTGTTGACCTTTTTTTTTTAGGCGTCAGAATTTTTCATTGTGCTATTTGGACTTGAGTAGCTAATATTTAAAGATTAATCGTGGGCCACATAATTCATTAGATGGGCCATATGTTGGCCATGCCTGTGCTAACCTCTACCTCATGAACGACACGATGAGAAGAGCAAGCTGCGGCAATATTACCTATTTTTTACTATATGATAAGTGCTCATTGTTAATGAAAAAGTATTAAATATTTATGATGATAATTTAATTTTTGTGGGCCCTTGACACTTAGTGGCCCAGGGCTTAAGTACTATTAGTCCCTATGTAGATCTGCCCATGTGCACAGGACTCCCATTGTATGGAAGCTCGACATTTTACTCTTTTTCCTTATTTGTGATTCAATTTCACGCTGAATGTCAAAACAAGAAAACTAGGATTTTATCGCCAGTATTATATTTTTATTGCCACCTTAATAAAAATATTGCCAAGTGGTGATTTTGGTCCTATGCAGTGCGACCCTTGCATATATGAGTATTTAGTAAAATATTAAAATTTAAATCATTCTTTAAAATTTCACAGTATACTACTTTGCATATCATGGTTTATAGTAGACTATGGTAAATTAATGGTGTATCTAAATATTAATAGTACTGTAATTAGAATGTTTAAATAAATTTATGGATCGGATTTACCAGTAAAATATATAAACAAGTAAAATTTCATAATGAATAGTTTTTCCTAGTGGAAAATACTAAAATTTTATATAATTCTTCTATTAATTATTAGTTAATATTTTTACTACCACTGTTAAGTGAAATATGACATAGCAAGAGTTGGAGAAGTGAAATTAGGAGAAATGTAGATAAACAATTTATAGCATGGTATGTACTGTACACTGCCTTGTTCAAATGCCTGTTATGACAAGACAATGTGAAAGATGCTTATTGAAAAAAGAAAGATTGGAGTATCAGTTTGTAAAACAGATACATCAGTAACATTCCAATATGCCAATGTATCAGTATTGGACCAATAACATCTCTATTATTGATTGATTTTTTTTATTCATACAAAGCTTCAGCTTTTTTACTATGAGTAAAATATAACAATTAAATTACATTTTTGTATTATTGTAAGTTAAATAAAAATGAACTGACAGAAGTTGACAACAGAAAGTTATTAACCTCATTTCCAATCATGACTAATCATTCTTGTTGATTACTAAATGATGACGACACTATATCACAGTAATTGTGCTGTCATGAGTCTCATTATTTAATATATACATATATATTAAATAAATTTTATTTGGCAATCTATGATTTTTAAATAAATAAATAATATGAATAAAACAGATACTGTTCAAAGTTCATCACCATCATCAGATCCACATCATCACATTAAATTTTATAAGAAAATATATATACACAGTAAAACCTATCTATGGCGACCACACACGGTTCCTTTCAAAAAGTGGTTGTTTAGACAGGTGGTTCTCCCAAACAGATGGTGCTGTAGTACCAATAGTACCATGTTTCTGCATTTATTTTGTGCACTTTTTAGCCATTTCTACTAAGCAAAACTCAAGGTGAGCAAAAATAAGTGAATTTTTTCAACGATAGAGCTATATTGATACTGTATTTTATTCTTATTGGATAACTGGATTAACAGGAATCATTGTGATTTTATAAGACAGATTTAATACCAATATTTTAAAGATTAATA